TCAAGAGTTGGTGTCATCCTTAATACGCTGTTTTGAGGCAGAACGGGATAATAATGGACCTTTGTTACCTTTTACAGCTGTTAGAGAGGTAAATAGGATTATTATTAATTATATATTAGAATATTTAACAAAATATATGTTGGATACATGAAATAATAATATATATACCAGAGACTGACTTTAGATGGCAAAATTTTTGGGTTTTATATCAGAAAATGTCTTTAAAAATGGCTAAAAACATACTTTTGGCGGTGCATCATATAGGTTATAAAAACTCAGACTTTTGACATTTTGGTATTATTCATGTAAACGCCATCTATCGCCCTGTAGTTGCACTACCACTTTCCCTTGATGCAAGGATTTTAGCATCACATTGACAACCGTGCCCGATCAGCTGATTGATGACGTGTACGTAGTTTACTTTTAAATTTACTATAGTTTTGATATGTCTTTTTCTGAAAATGAATTCGATGCAGAAAAAAACATGATGTAACAAAAGCCGAATTATCAAGACATTTCCATTGGCGCTATGCTAGCACTTCACTATCCCTTTTCGACAACTTAAGGTCCCTAATTAAATCATTTGGGCTTATTAGGGCTTATTTGTTGAAAAAGAGAAACAGATCCGATGCAGTACAGAAAAAAGTGAACACCACACATTTCTCATTATAAATCACTAAAATAAACAAAATCTAAAATTAAATTAAATGTTTATGAAAGTAAATTAAATAAAAAAATAAAATAAATAAGAAAACAATTAAAAAAAAAACGGTTTTCTTCCCTTATTAAATCTAAAAAAATTGTAATATTACCTATAAATGATAAAAAATTATATTGCTTAAAAAAATGTACCTACCGTATTTATATTTAGATTATTCTAAATCTCATCACGTACGTATGCTTAAAATTTTCTTAATTAAATTCTCTAGAATATAGGGGGACTAACTTTTTATATTTCAAAATATTTTTTGATATGGATGGACCAAAGTTGAAAAAAATGAAAAAAAATCGGAAAATAGTGATTTTTTCTGACCTATTTTTGGTCATAGTGACAAAACCACTAATGCAATTTAGGAGCTTTACATCTTAAAATTTGCATTAAACTTCAGTCCTTACAGCTATAAAAATTTGAGATTGATTTGATATCAAATACAATTTTAGCTGCATATTTGTGATTGAATATTCTGTAACAGTGCATTTTTGCGAGATTTCATGCATAACCCGAAATCTAGAGCTAAACCAGAAAAACTACTATTATTTTAGGAATCAGTACAAAATTTTACCTTAAAAAAAGTGGAAATGAGGAACAACTTTATCAAATTTTGTAAACTAGTGTAATTTAATTTAAGAGATATTTAGTCCAGGAAAACTCGATGGTAGTCGGGTTTTATTTTTTTTATCAGGGGTGCTGATAATGAATTAAGAATATTCACCTAATTTCATCCCCCGAAAGGGGAGTTTTTTTGCTTTTTGGCTTATAACTCGCTAACCTTGTATTTTTTCAGAATTTGACCTTTAATACTTTTAATTATGTACTAAATAAGGCACACGTTAAACCTCATTGCGCAACTATATGATGTGCCCTTTTGTAATGCGCAGTGTACAAAGTTGAGCGTTGCTTTCAAAATCACTTTTTTGTTTTTTTTATTATAGCCCAATTTTAAAAGTAATCGATCCCAAACCTTACGGTAATCAAACATAACTGAATGGACGATTTTTTTAGGTACTAAACTTTTTTCAAAAGTTACTGCTTTTTAATGTACAGGGGGTTCTTTTCTAAAAAACCCATTTTTTATTTCCCAAACGGCTTTAATGAGCCAGTTCGTTCTACCCTAGATTTTTAGGTAATTATATTCATTGCAAGTGCCCCACAAAAATTAAAGTTTTGAAAAAAGAACCCCCTGTACATTGAAAAGCAGTAACTTTTGAAAAAAGTCTAGTACCTCAAAAATTCGGTTATGTTATGTTATCAAATTAAATTACCGTAAGGCTTGGGATCGATTATTTTTAAAATTGGGCCATAATAAAAAAAAACAAAAAAGTGTTTTTGAAAGCAAAGCTCAACTTTGCACTGCGCATAGCAAAACGGCACATCATATAGGTGCGCAATAGGGTTTAACGTGTGCCTTATTTACTACATAATCAAAAGTATTAGAGGTGAAATTCTGAAAAAATGTACGGTTAGCGAGTTATGAACCAAAAAGCAAAAAATTCCCTTTTCAGGGGATGAAATTAGGGGACGCGGAAAGAAATTTTTGGGGAATATTCTTGATTTATTATCAGCACCTCTGACTCTGACTATTTAACAATTTCTAATTTTTTAAATATTTTGTATCAAGAAAAATTTAATAGGGTCATTTTTTAAGGTTGATATAAACAATTTGTTGACTGATTAAGTGTTTTGTAAACAATATTACTGATAAAACACAGAAAAAAATATCGTACCTGATATTAATGTCCTACGATCATTAAGTGCAAAATCATTACGATAATGTCCTTTTCATAGTATTAATGCAATCAAGTAATTATGATAATGCTTAAAAAATATGAGTTAATGTATTATTGGATTGTCACAATGTCTGCCTGGTCATTATCCTAGTGCAGGAATTTTATTATTTTTTAGCCAAAATACATTAAGACAATGATATTTTACATTAATACGATGATTATTTACATTAAATCAATAACCTAGAGTACATTAGTTAATCATTGCTCAGTGATAAAATTAATGTCAAGGCTTAATAGATTAATACTCTAAATGGTATAATTTAATAATCTAAAATTATTACATTAATGACTATGTAGACATCAACTTATGTACCTTAGCATGAATATAATGCTCTAACATATTAAATAATACAACAAATCATAACTCTATCGCCAAATACGTTGAGCCAATGTCTAAATACATTAATATTAGGCCCTGTTGTTTCCCACCACCTAAAAATGCAAGTAAGAAAACAATTTAACAACAGTTTAGTATTCCTGTTAATCCTGTTGCGACGTGCTTGCCCGCCCATCCCGATTGTTGTGCGTTTAGGTTTATTATTATATGAAATATAAAAAAGTGCAAGTATTTTTAACCTTTATTTCCCAGAAGAATGTGTCATGGTCTGGTCATACATATATTGAAAAAAACTTTTTTTAAATGAAGCATTCTAATACATTTTCCAAAATCCATGTATTATGTGACTTTTTAGAATGTAAGTAAGACAATGTTAAAAAGTTAAGGTTTATTTATGTTTCATAAATTTTTTGTAATAAAAATAAGGATTTTAAATTACCAAGGGTTTTTATTATTTTTTTATATTAATCTTTAGTTTCATAATATTTACAAAAAGGACTAGAAATATGTAGTTCCAGTTCCAGTTTTGCGGTGGCCCGGACATAAACCCTGTAGAAAATGTTTGGGAACTGGCTAAAGAGAACATTACCACATAAGTAATATTAATAGTAATAATTACTAATATATTTGTTTACATATTTCTAACTCTTTTTGTTAACTGATCAACAAAAAAATTGATTTAATGTTAAAACTTAAGGTAAGTGTAATAATTTATCTACATATATACAAAAATTGATTTAATGTTAAAACTTAAGGTAAGTGTAATAATTTATCTACATATATACAGGGTATCTCAAAAGTTAAGGACAGCAGAAAAGGGGTGGATAGAGGATGGGATTCTAAGTCGAATGGTCTTTGCCGTTTTTCAATCGACTTAAAATTCCATCCTCTATCCACCCCTTTTCTGCTGTCCTTGACTTTTGAGATACCCTGTATATATATATATATATATATATATCGATCCATTCCGGTATATCGATATCGATATATCTATATATCGATTTATCGATATTTTTCCATCCCTTATTTCAGGCCTACTATTAATGCTTCTTTGCATTATGATAATGCTAACAGATCATTAATTAATGTATATTAGGTGATTGGGATAATGTTCTTTAATTGTTAATTGATTAAAAATTTATTAATTGGTTGATGTTTACTGGGCATAGAATTAATGTACTAGGACATTAATCCATGTCAATGGTCATTAATATCAGTACTTTTATTTGAGATCTTCCTGATTAAAATCAATGTCCGCCAAGCATTAATATTACGTCCTTGTACATTGAATAATACTTTAAAAGCATTGTGGTAATGATTTTGAGCATCGGAGCAAAATTAATGTAAAAAATCATTGCGTTAATGTTTTTTTTTATTAATATTACGTACGTTTTTCGTTGTGTGAAAATAGCAGTCACAGTTTTCTTGATACAAAATATTAATTGAAATTTTAGAAATTGTTAAATATCTCTTAAATTATTAGGTTTCTATTTGATTAAATAAAAACATTTAAAATAAAAAAGTTTTCAAGTTAGCCTAATTTGACCTGCGTTTTCTCAGGTAATTTGTTAAAAAATGTTAAAGAATTGACATGGAATCTTTTTAACAATGTTCTAAGGTTCCAGAAATTCACCTTCATATTCGCAAACCTACCAACAAAAAGTTATAGGCTATTTTTGATTAATGCGAATTTCTCTAATTTTAACGAAAAAAAAATTATAGGTATAGGACATGGTATAGTAATTTTACTCAGAATTTTATGATGTCACTTCGGGTTAAACCGGAAGTGGAATTTTGAAATTTGAAATCGGTATTTTTTCCGTTCCTTAGAAACTTCTAATGGAAATCAATAAAACTTTAAAAAATACTTGTCATTTAAAAATTGATTTTTTTACAGGAAATTTTATATTTTATATTTTATGTATTCGACGTTTATATTAAATCTTCATGCTTATTGAAAATTACTTTAATTTTAACCAATTTTCAAACCCCTTATTTTGAATTGCCAAGTACCTAATTTTCTATTTTATCAACAAACCTATTTGTACCTGTACCTATATAAAAATTGCTTATCTGCTGATAACAGATTTTGCGGAATTACTTATTAAAGCATAAATAAACCGTAATCTTATCTTTACATTAGTCAGTCTGCAGTGCTCTCTAAAAGTCGAAAACGAACTAAAAATGTTTTCCGGAATATTTAGTGGTTTATTATTTATAATAAGTTTCGTAGCAATTAATTCTCATCAAACCAAAAATATATTAAGGTATTCCGATTTGAGTAAGTTGTTTTTGTTATATTAACTATGTTAGTAATATCATCACAAGTGCATTTGTTTTAGCCAGTTATCGAGTGTGCACCACTGATGCAGATTGTTTGGATAATTCTTTCTGTTTTGGAAATGACGCTGAAAAAACAGGAAGGTGCAAATGCTTGCAAGGGTTTGAAATGCTTGTCAGAAATGAAAAATTCTATGCTTGTCTTCAAGGTAGGGGGTATTTTTGTGTAATTATAATTAATCATGATTATTTCAACCCCCAACAGTTCGGCAGTATCCAGACGTATCTTTCCTTTCCCTTTCTCCCGCTCTCTTTATATTCATCCTAAAAGGCCAAAATTACTACACCAAAAAACTTTTGCTTACCCTGTAATTATGACCACTAATTATGATCAGTGGCGGCTCGTCAGAGTAGCCCTCTGGGGCTACTACCTATTATATATTATAATTATTTAAAACTTATGTCTGATCTTTTATAGTTTTTGTCTCGACTAGTAATAGTTATTGTTGAGCGAAGCACAAAAAGGCACTTCTTGGCCGAATGGCATACAACATTTTATCTTCAAAGCACTTTATATAGGTCAATTTAATTCAACATCAAAGCGGCCTAACCTCACTTTTTTAGAATCTTATTTATTTATTAGCTAAAGATTACATTAAATATACAATAATTATTATTGCTTTTAGAAGCAGTAATAGTTAGTTTGACAATACCTACACTGAGAAAAAAATGGGACAAATAAACTGTGTAGCTAATACTTTTATTAATAGTGAATATATTGTTTATTACCTCTAAATAGTCGAAATAATAACGATAAATATACTTTAGTAAAACTTTATATATCGGGAATAAAAATATATTTAGGATAAATAAACTGTACCCTTGTCCCATATTTTAATATTTTTTTTATTTGGGAGCAATAAACTTTTTTCTCAGTGTTGCTACATGATTTAAGTAGAAATGGATTTTTGCTATTACATTGAATTCAATTAATTGTTTAATAAATAGGTAGGTATCTAATTTCAATTTGTTTGGATTTTTATTTAAAAAATAGGTAGTTTGGGATGTTTAAGCTGTGGTTAACATTTAATTTCACTGAAAACTTAAAGCAAATTAAAACTTAAAGATAATTTAAATTGTAGAAAAAGAATCGTGCGTTTTCTTGGTTGCCTAATCTCACTTTTTGTTGTATTATTCATATTTAATTTTACAATAATTTAATGAAAAATATTAAATTAACAGTAAAACAAACAAATTAGTGCTTATTATAAATAAATTAAACCAGTTTAGTACGTTAATTTCTTAGAAATGGATTAATTTGTCAAAACAATACCCCTAGCGAGAAAAAATCGAACTAATTACTTGCCTCATAAAAAATTTTATCGGCCTAGGCCATAACAAGGTATTTCTTTATCGTATGTTGACAACAATAAAGTTTAAATTATAGACGGCGTGGAGATAAAAATTATTATTTTATTATTGTGGTGCACGGGGTACATACACGCTACAAGGTAGAGTAAGTTTTTATTAAGCAAAAAGTCGCACAGTGGACTGAGAGGTAAATTTACGCGGCAAAAATTATTCTTTAAATATTTTTCCCAAGGCGTGTGTTCTTTATGTTTTTAAGGGTGCTAAATTTACTTCTTATATACATTTGTTTAAAAAATATTTGGTATTCTATTTTTGTTTTTTTTTTGTTTTATATTTAATACTTTATTTATTAAATAAATAAGTTCGTACCAGGGGGCGATCGCCAATTTTGGCGATTGCAACATGGCGCAAGCATAATTTTTTATCATGAATAACAGAAAAACCATTACCTTCAAAGTATCAAAAATATAATATTAAATCAACATTTTACATTTCAACATATTTCTTTTTAACAACCCTTTAGCAAATATCGTGATGGATGACAATAGGAAAACTTATTATTTTTATTATGCGTTAAATACTCATGCCTGTTTTAAAAAAGAGATTCCTATAGAACAATTATTATTGCACTACCCTCACTTTGCTGTTTTTTTATTTTCTGAGCACCCTGGACATTTAATTAAAAATGTTTGTTAGGAATCTCATTTTTAAATACAAGCAGAAGTTTTTATGAACAATGATTTTTTTGCGATTCCGTTACGAATATCTTATCGCATTTCTCTCTTATTTTGATATATAATTTTTTTTAAATTTCTGAGCGCCCTGTATATATAATTTATCTTTTTACGAAAGTCTTAATTTTTAACCAAATATTTTCAAAAAGAATTCATTTTTCCATAAAACGCAATTCTAGTTTTTTGTGTTTTTTTAGTTTCTGAGCACCCTGCACATTTAATTCAAAATGTTTGTGTATAGGAATCTTATTTTTGAAACAAGCAAGAGTTTTTAAAAAACATTTTTTTTCGTATCATACCTAATAAAAAAGTTTTTTTTTATTGTCATTACCATCCGTATAATATACAAAGTATATTAAAAAATAATATTATGTAATAGGAGTAAAGAAAATTGTATTACCATTCTTAAATGCAATAATTATTGTTAAATTTAAAAAATATATTACTTTTATGACCAGGTTAGCGGTAATTTGTCGGCCATTTTTCATTTTTGCATAACTCCCTTATAAATAGGCGCATAAAGGCAGATGATTTTTTATATAGTCGGAGCTGGAGGTTCATATTTTCGATTGCATTGTGTGGTTCTGGGCAAGTAATTATAAATTTTTACTTATATTCCATTTATTATTTGTAATTACAAAACTTAAGAATTTGTAGGTTAAAAAACGCTATATTTTTGGCAAAAAATCCAAAACAGACATTTTAAAGTTGTATTTGTACTCAACTTTATCCCTACTATAAATTTTTGACACTAATTTTCACTATTATATTTACGCAACACCTTTTTTACACGAAAAAGACAAGATTCCGAAAGTAAGAGTATTTTTGACAATCTTTTCATGTATTTGTCATAACGCAGCGCATACGCAGTAAATTCTACTTCGCAGTTTAAAATTTTAGGTAATAATCTGTCACGAACAATAAAGAGGCATCAAAATGCGTTTTTAAAGTGTTTTAAAAATTGGATTTTTGCCGCGTAAATTTGCTTCTCAGACCACTGTGAGTCGTATTAAGTTTCAATTAAGGCTAGGTTTTCAAAATACCGGTAAGTTTTTATTAGTTAAATATTTCTGTTTTTTTTTTTTAATGAATCCTGTTCATGGCATTATTCTCTCAATAATTGAAACTCATTTTTTAAGTATAAACGAAACTTTAAAAAGACAGTCTTCCAACGCCAAAAATGTCATCAATATTTAACGATATGCAATATTTTAAAATACTTGTGGAAATTTATTCGCTTTAGACAAAATTAACCTCATGTAGCGACCCAGATAATAACCGTAAGCATCAAAACGGTATATGACGGCACGAAATGATTGCATTTTCACTTTTGCTAAAAAGATATCGCAAAATTGTAGATGTAGATTGTAGATCTACACTAAAATTTTCAAAAAATTGACTTGCTAAATAGATATCGCAAAATTGTAGATGTAGATTGTAGATCTACACTAAAATTTTCAAAAAATTGACTTACACCATATGGTTCATTTGTAAAAAGACTGGATTTGTAGACTACATTTGTATAAAAAATATACATAATTTTATTTGGAATTTCAAATTGAAATTGATCTTACGATCAACGAGTTAACAACTTGATCTTAAGATCACGTTTATAAATTAATTTATCATTAATTTATCTATGAATTTGTAAAAATATACCTAATTTTAATTAAATTAAGATATCTTTCTATAAATGTAGACAATTGTCACAAAAACTAAAATAAATGACTTTAAGAAAAAGATCTTCTGGATTATTACTTATAATATAATGACCAAAATTTCGCAATAAATCAATTTTATGAATGATTAACAGCTGAGTTTTGGTAAGGTAATAACTGAAGACAATTAATGATAATTACGAATCGAAACGTAATAAAAACAATCAAATTAAGGCAATGCAAATCCAAAATTCACCTGTTAATCATGTCCAGAAAAATTTCTTCAACCATCACATGTGCTGGCTATATGAACCTCAATTGACGACGCAAATGATGATAATGAGATATGTGACATACGTGCGGATTAAGAATCACGTTGTGACTGCAATATGCGTAAAATATGAAACTCGCAATTTTTCTCCAACCATCACATTGCTTTCTATATGAACCTCAATTGATGACGCAAATGATGCATACACAGAAAAAAATCTAACATAGTACCAAGAACAGCGCTGTCATTGAATGCATAAAAATTTAAGCAATCTAAATTGTTATTTGCTCAATTAATTACTATTAAACCAAAATAGGGAAATATTTTGCCTAAATGTCAAAGAATTTATTGCGTTAAATGTATACATAGTATACATACAATAGTAACGTTATTAAATAAATCAAATTAGTATTTAATGCAATAACATTCTACCATTCTAACAAATAAATATCAATATGAATATCAATAGATTTAGGAGCGATAACTTTTGTTGTTAATTTAAAAACAGTAAACGATTATAAACCAAGTGCTAACTACCTATTGGTATTATAGGAACTGTTATTCAGGAATACGGATTACAAGATCCCATTGGTTTAATGGCTCACCCATTCATGCTATGCTAGTGTTTTTTCTGTGTATATGCGTGCATACGTGCTGATTACAATCACGTTGTGACTGCAATATGCGTCAAATATGTTATCTGAGCCGCCACTGGTTATAACATAAAATGTTCTTGCTATTTCGGCCTGTGTTACAACTTAAATTTTTTAGAATCGAGCTATGGGAATCCCTGCCTTTATTCCGAACAATGTGTCATAAATTTAGGAAATAATGGCCTATGTGATGCTAAGACCAAATTATGCACGTGTGCTGATGGTTCACATTATAATGAGGTTGATAAGCAATGCTACAAATCAAAGAGTAAGTAAAAGATCTGTTTAATTTAGTTTCTGAAGGTTTTTGATGCCATCTGTAGAGGATTGTGATAAAATATGGAATACATTTTGGTTTATTCGATAAAAAAAAGGTTCAATATTTAAATACTTCTAGTTTACAGCCATGTTTCACTATGATTTTCTTGTGTTTGGCTCACTAAACGCGAAAATCACACTAACAATTTTTTTCATGGAAGCGTTTTCGAGATATGAATTTTCAATTATTTTTTTTTAATTTTCTGAGGTGTTTTGACGTTTTAGAGTATACTTCGAGTTCTTATTGATCGATTTGCCCAAACAAGCACTTAATTCAAAAGGTATTGAGCCCTCTACAACTTTTTCTTATTTATTTAGGTTTTTATTACGTAAAGACTAAACATATTACAAAATAGAAGAAAAAAATAAAATAAAAATCGTCAAAAAGCTGAATTTTGGTCTTCCACTAAAAAATTCATAACCATTTTTCCATGTATTTTTATCAACATAAGCTTGTTTTTTTTTGTAAAAATGTTAGCTTCACGAAAAAAAATTCAAACTGGAGTTATCTGTTTGATTGAAACCTTTCCCAGGACTATATGTCAATTTTTGACTTTTTTTAAGTTATTAATCATCAAAATACTAATCCGATATCAAAAGTATTTAAAAGAAAGTTTTAGAGGGCTCAAGTACCTTTAATAATTGAATTATTTAAGGGCTTGTTTAACCAAATCCATCAATTAGATTTCAAGCTATATTCAAAAACGACAAAACACCGAAAATTGAAAAAAAAACAAATGAAAATTCATATTTCATAAACGCTTCCATAAAAATGTGATTTTCGTGTTTATTGGGTCAAAATACATGGAAAAATTATAATGGGATATGGTGGGCAGAATTTGTTTTCGATTTTATAAACCCCTGGCGAAAATGAAATGTGCAAAAAGTGTGCAAAAGTATTTGAGAACAATGTGCCAACAATGTGCAATCTTTTAAAAAATGATGTGCGGAGGGTGGGAAATGGAACATGAAACAATGTGCAAAACCAAAAATTTAAAAGTGTGAATAATCACTGGACAATGTTCTAAAGGGAACTCCATTTGATTTTTCACATTGTTTTGGACACTGTTTCTTGCCACCTGTGTGCCTATTACAAAAACAGATTCTTTTTGGTGACCTATAAAGTCTTTTAAATTTACACATAATTGAAATATAAATATCCTATAATAATATTAATCAAATAAATATTTTTTTCAAAAAAATTAAAAAAAAAACCTGCAATGTGAGTCCTACATAGGTATTATAAAGGGTGGGCCATCTATAAGTTAAATTTTAAACTACGTGCTATTAATGAAGCTTTCAACTTAAGCGCCATGAATTGCTGACAGTGGTTTAGTTTTAACCTTCCGATTACAAAATATGCACCGAATAAATTTGGATCAACGTTTCGAAATACTCAAAACTTACTTTGAATGTGACTGTGATCGCAGAGACGGCAAGAAAATTGCGTTTGGAAGAAATGAGGCGCCGTCAAACCAAAGTATTACAAATTTGATCAAAAAATTGCGCAGAAATGGAATGCTGGTGGACATAAAACATGTTTCGCATGCTCGTCCTAGACGTACACCTGAAGCAATCGCTGCTGTGGCCGAAAATGTACGCATGAACGCGTCAACATCAACTCGGCGCAGATGTCAACAACTCGGCCTTTCCCGTACCACTCTGAGGATGATTCTGCACAAAGACCTCGGTATGTTTGCGTACAAAGTCCAGCTTGTTCAGGAGTTAAAGCAAGTTGACCATCCACAACGTTTTCGCTTTGCTGAGTGGGCTTTAAACCAGTTGAACGATGACCCTAATTTTGCAAGAAAAATCATCTTTTCGGATAAGGCGCATTTTTACCTCGGAGGTTATGTCAACAAGCAAAACTGTAGGATTTGGGCCACGGAAAATCCACACGTCGCCGTAACAAAGCCTATTCACCATTTAAAACAAAACATTCAAGCTCAAATTGCCTAAATAGAGCAGCAAACTTTTGACAAAGTGCTCGAAAATTGGTGTTCCAGGATGGGCTACTGCCGAGCGAGCTGAGGTGGCCACTTCAATAAAATCATTTTCCATACTTAATCGGAAGAAACATTGTATCAAATAAAGCAAAATTCGTTGAAAAAAAATCAGTTTTTCTTGTTCTCATTGCTATTTTATAATTCAACATAAACATGGCCCACCCTTTATTTTATTAAGAAAAATACCTGCACTGTCAACTCCACGAAGGGGATTGCTTTGATCTTAGCAATAGGCCGAGAAGCGATACATAAGATGGAATCTACCTCACCTTTTAAATAAATGTTGTACCCCAACTCAAGCGAGATATATCTAAAATGTGTTTAAACTGTTGAGTGATCGCTAAAACTGTACAAGCAATGTGCTATAAAAAGGTGTAATATAAGCGTATAAATGAGAAATATTAAAGCGTGCTAACAGTGTGTATAAAATGTGACATGCGTAAGAAGACTGAAGCTTTGCAAAATGTCTTTAAACAATCTACTAACACTGTGCAAACAATGTGCTAAAATATAATGTAATATAACATATGACAAATAAAAAGCGTGATGTCAATGTACATAAAGAGTGAAAAAACTTAATTACTTCAAAAAGTGTGAAATTACCACAAAGTAGCGTGTACGCACATTGTTATAAAGACTTGCACTCCAAATACACACTTATTGTACACTTTTCATGCACGCTTTATTTTCGCCAGGGACTAGTGTTATTTGCTTAGTAAAATAGTTTAATTTCTACAGAATTACATGATATTTGCACAACAAGTGCCGAATGTGTCCTCAAAAATGGCCAAAATGCATTTTGTCAGTACGGACGTTGCCGTTGCGATCTAAATCAGCAACCCACAGCTAGTTTGGACGAATGCCTGGACTCGAAGAGACTCGGAGATACGTGTGGTTCGGACAAAGACTGTCAACTCATAGACAACAGCTATTGCGGAGGAACTTGCCTATGTCGACAAGGGTTTTCAGTTTGCAGACATGGAGACTTTTGTTTGAAAGGTTGGTAACATCCCCGTCATAATATATATATGTTTTCATCGTTATTATTTTAGATGCCATCACCATTGGGGAAGACTGTACAGAAGACATTCAATGCGTTAAAAATATTCCTCATGCTTTCTGTTTAGAAGAAAAAAAATGCGTTTGTCCTCTCGGCAGACATTTCTACGGAAGTAGCTGTATAGTTTCGGTGGATGTCGACGGTTATTGTGAAAAGGACTTTCAATGTTTGTCGCAAGAAAAAGAAGTTTCATTGGTCTGTAAACATGATGTGTGTGTTAAAACTAATTCAGGTGGATTATTTTTATACAGTGTGATATTATTGTTTTTGCAAGTTGGGTTTATATACATTTTGAATTATTAAATTATTATAGGTACTTTGATAGTTTTATTATCTCAGTTTTTTTTTGTTAAGTAGTTTTAATTTAAAAATAAAATAAATAAATAAATATCTATACATTTTTATATATCCAGTGTGGAAAAACCCCCGTAACTTTTTTATTTGTTACTCAATTTTAATGAACCAAGATATCCAAGATACAAAAAATATTTTCAATGTCAATGTCAATATGAACATTATTCATTGGTACATTCACACTATTTATTATTAAAATAAATAAAAAGGGTAGAAAAACTTAATGGGAGTGTTTATTACCCCTTAATGTGTTAAATAGTGACAAAATGTACACTACAGTACATGCCAATTTCTTTGTCTGTTTTGATGTTACTCTTGAGCTCTTTTTTTTTACACTACTAGTGCACATTGAATCACACCAATAGTGGCAAAATAGTCTGTAATAACCGAAATGCGTTTTAAAATGTTTGGTTGGTACCTATCTACCTACGCAGTGCATATCCGGAGATACCGCGTTGTGGAAGTGTGGCATTTTTGTTCAGTTAGATTTTAATTACGGTGAATCCATAAGGGGACATTCTTATTTTTTGGTAAGTATTATACTTCCTTTTTCTTTAAGCCTTAATACTCAATAAATACCAATGTGTTAAAAGGATGTCCATACCCGACCTATATTACGTATATATCAATAATTTACGGCAGTAGGTCGGGTAGTAACATTAATAATATAAATACATATACACTTGATTTACTTTTTATTTTCAAGCGTAATGGTTGTTATATTAACCTACCTACATTTTTATTAATATTATGAAATTTGTACACGTGTGGTAAATCCCCGACATACAGCCGCCTGACGCCTCTCACCCATTTTTTATAACAGAAAAATGGATTACTGATGAATTCCCAAGATAATTCATTGCTTACAAGTTGACAGCCAGTAAAACATTGCATTGATCTAAAACTTTTACGTTTTAAGGAACCATTTTGCTTAAGCCAGCCATACGACTCAAATATAAAATTATATTTTAAAAGGCACCGATTTTGATAATTGTCATAGATTTTTGTTCCAAATAAATGTTTCTCTTTATTTGCCTTTTCGTTTTATTCACTACCACCAATAGGTTTTACTCATAATAATAATAGTGTTAATTTACACTAGAAGTTTGCACTAAAAGAGTAAAAGTATCTTTCTAAAATTAGAACTTATCCAAAGTAGTGTTAATTTACACTGAACAAAAGTGGGATTTTACCCAGGAAGTGTAGAAGTACATGATTTTAAGCAAATTAACACTTTTTAATACAGTGTAAAATTACTTTATCAGTGCTATAGTGTTAAATCATTGACTAAGGAATTCACTCAATGCTAATAAAATATAGAGATATTTTAAGTATATCGTCGTAGATTTAGTTATTTAAACGTTATTTCCACTCATTTGAAGTTGTGATATCAGTTTTCGTCACTATAATGCTACTTGGGATCCCTTAAATTAAATATAGGGGAAGGTGGGGGAATTCTGCGCATCTAAGCAAAATCTCTGTTAAGTTTAAATGTGAACTTTTGCAATTAATACCAGCGATAGTCTACTATGTTTACTATGTGTATATAATGCGCAATTTATAAAAAAAAATGTTTGGTATGCAAAAACTACATTTTTTTAAATAATGCATTTGCGCAAAATTACCCACCTATCAGGGTAATACAATTTTTGTTCTTAGAAATAAAAGGGTCTACATGCAGCATTTGTCACATATGTAGTTTTAGGGGTTGTTTTTCGCTACACTCCGCGTGTGCCCAAATGGAACTGTTTATGCTGAACAATCTAGGCTCCTGTATACCAAAGCTCCCATATTGGCCAAATTTTGCAGCGCAAAATTACCCCAATTTTTCAGCGTAAAATTGCAAGAAAAATATTGTGATACTAAAAAACTTTCCAGAAGTTAACCTGAACAATTTAAACATACACCAGATTACGACAAAAGATCATATAAAGTTGTGTTATAAACATTTAAGCGATTGGACAGAAATTTAAACTTAACTCGTAGTGGAAACGACATGGATTTCTTAGATCAACTTACATGTATCACAGTTAGCTAGTGACCATGGTCACTAGCTAAAAGCTACAAGCTTAATTGCGGTACACTTTAGTCCCCGTATACCCAAAGCAACGTTTCCAAGTTTGCAACATTCAAAAAATGTATTATTTACTTCATATCTGGAAGAATTGTTTATGCGTAAAATTACCCACCGCGCAAAATTCCCCCACCTTCCCCTAATAAATTATTTAAAATAAATCAATAATATTTTCCTATTTTGTGTCCAAATTGTTTCAATTATTCAAAAAGTTTTCTTATTTGCAACATCATTAATTTTTCAATGTTTAATTACTACTTTGCTACTTTATTTTAATTATAGTTGTACATGGGGACACGTAATGTTAAGTGAGGTATAAAAAGCAGATTTCCACCCTTGTAGATTAGTTTATTTGCACGTTTGCAATAAGGTGCATTTAAATCATAGCTAAAATAAAAGGTATTACTGTTAAAAAACTTTCTTATCTTATGGAGCATATGTCGTTACCAAGACGGTTTTTGACCATAATTGCTTTTTGGCCTTTAAAATTGAAAGGAGTCAAACAAAAAATGTATATAACATATCGTATACTTATATTATGTTACTGTTGTGTTACCTCCGTCACTGAAGTAACTGGTAATATAATATTATTAAAGTATGGAGATTTTGGGAATTTCAGTGCAAATATTCATAATATTTTAAACCTATTCAAACTGTATTATATAACAAGAATATGGACTTACTTGGATGTCATGTATGAGATTGAAAAAAAAATCTCAAACAAAAATGATAGAGAATTTAACGAGATAATGGTAAAATTTAAGAAACAAAGTAAAGTTCTCTTTTTGCTTGTATTAACCGGAGGTGCATCTATTATATCATACATTGTGCAACCTACAATAAATAAAATAAAGGGTGCTTGTTTTCACAATAAACTGACGGACCGCTGTGAGTATGGCTTTGGTTTTACTCAATGGTTTCCTTTTTTCGATTATGAGAACCATTGGGGTTTGGCTTATTTCCTTTTATCACTTGGTAAGAAAATACTAAAATGACATTCCGAAAAAAGACCCCTAATTAGGTTAACAAGCCCATTTAATTTATTGAATTTAAATAAAACGATTCTAATAATCTCTATGGAGAATCGATTTTTCGACACTTTGGGGTCTTTATTTGGCACGTCATGACGCGTCACATATAATGTGAATAACTAAAATTTGCAAAATTTCAGGAGAAGCATTGCTTGGCTCTGCTTATGTGTCATTTTACGCCTGCATGCCATTTGTAATAATGTTTTTGGTGGGTCATATCAAAATATTGCAGTTGAAATTTAAAAACTTTTCAAAGTACTCTGAGCAATTATCCAAACAATATGGGCAACCTTTGGAAATAGCACAAAACATATATTTAGAAGAATGTATTAAAGACCATCAAGAACTTATCAATTTGTGTGACAATATTAAAAATTGCTTGGCTACATATTGGTTGGTAGATTTTGTGCTGGTAGCAGTACAAATTACCATTGTCTGCATTAAAATTTTGAAGGAACTTGGTCTTAACTCTGTCACTTTCGCTAATCTGATGCATATAGCCACATTATTTGCGCAATGTTTTGCAATATACCACCCAAGTGAAAAATTGTTCGAAGAAAGTCAAAATATTGGACAATCGATTTTCAACAGTGAGTGGTACACATATCCATTACATGTTCAGAAAAAAATGCTAATAATAATGATGAGATCAGCAAGTCCTCTACACATGTCTCTTGGACCTTTTTATAATATCAGGATCAGTTTTTTGACCGACATCACAAGGTCTGCATATAGTTTAATTTGTTTTTTACAAAAAATGTAAATAAAATTATTAATCGCATCATAGTATACTCTAGGTATAGTACAATATTGCACACTTGTAGTCTTTGTAATGTTTTTGGTGGGTCATATCAAAATATTGCAGTTGAAACTTTTCAAAGTAATCTGAGCAATTATCTAAACAATATGGGCAACCTTTGGAACTAGCACAAAACATATATTTAGAAGAATGTATTAAAGACCATCAAGAACTTATCACTTTGTGTGACAATATTGGAAAATGCTTGGCTACATATTGGTTGGCAGATTTTGTGCTGGTAGCAGTACAAATTACCATTGTCTGCATTCAAATTTTGAAGGAACTTGGTCTTAACTTTGTCACTTTCGCTAATCTGCATATAGCCACATTATTTGCGCAATGTTTTGCAATATACCACCCAAATGAAAAATTGTTCGAAGAAAGTCAAAATATTGGACAATCGGTTTTCAACAGTGAGTGGTACACATATCCACTACATGTTCAGAAAAAAATGCTGATAATAATGATGAGATCAGTAAGTCCTCTACACATGTCGCTTGGACCTTTTTATAATATCAGGATCAGTTTTTTGATCGACATCACAAGGTCTGCATATAGTTTAATTTGTTTCTTGCAAAAAATGTAAATAAAATTATCAATCGCATCATAGTTTTAAAAGTACACTCTAGGTAAAGTTCATTATTGCACACTTGTAGTCTCTGTAATGTTTTTGGTGGGTCATATCAAAATATTGCAGTTGAAATTTAAAAACTTTTCAAAGTACTCTGAGCAATTATCCAAACAATATGGGCAACCCTTGGAACTAGCACAAAACATATATTTAGAAGAATGTAGACCATCAAGAACTTATCACTTTGTGTGACAATATTGTAAAATGCTTGGCTACATATTGGTTGGTAGATTTTGTCCTGGTAGCAGTACAAATTACCATTGTCTGCATTAAAATTTTGAAGGAACTTGGTCTTAACTCTGTCACTTTCGCTAATCTGATGCATATAGCCACATTATTTGCGCAATGTTTTGCAATATACCACCCAAGTGAAAAATTGTTCGAAGAAAGTCAAAATATTGGACAATGGATTTTCAACAGTGAGT